ACTCAGGTCAGTTTTCAATTGAGCAATGTAAGACCAATCTTTCGCTGATTATATAAGCTAGTTTTGCGGACAGTCTACCATTTATGTCCCCACGTCCCCCAAATGACCTCCCACCGCTCTAAATCCCTTTCTGCGAGTTTTCAGCTATTTCCTCTAGTTCTCCACTGAGTCGCATGGCACAACGTTTTCATTTTGACGTGCGACGTTCGAGACAGTAGTTAGTCAATTATAACAGATCTATAGAGTCAATAAACTAACCCAAATTCAGGCCCCACTTCCAAAAACTTGTCCCGACTTCTGGTATATGGTAGTGCAAGAGAAATCAGTAGCCATTCTTATGTTATGTAATTTTATAGAGCAGGTGAGTACTGCATAGCCCAGCCAATTGGTTAATCAATTTACATCAGCTTTAACGCAGAATGCTAAAAAGTGTGCTGAATATTTTCCTACCGAGGAAGACAAGCCGTGTTCATTTGAAGGAGGTGTCACAGTTCAATTGAAGAAACAAGAGCCGGTCAGCATTTTACACGACTTCTATCTTAGTATGGTGATAACTTACCTGTGTAGCTGCTTGAACTTACCTATAATTCCTGTCACGTTCTACTTCTGCATGTCTTGTAGTTCTGAAGGCCCATGAAGGCACCCCTATTCAAGCGAGGCTCTGACAAGTTTGTTCTCGAAGTAGTGCCAGTAACAGGAAGAAATTGTTCGAGCTAAACAATAGTAGTGTGGTGGGCATGAGTGGATTAGGAGAGACGCTCGCTCCCGCAGTAAAAGGAGCTCACCCATGGGAGTGGGCAATATGATTCCGCACAGATGCTCTTGAAAAGTTAGAGTTTCAAATTTTTGAAGCTACCAAATTGGGAAAAAACAAAAAGAGTTCACAAATTAGATGGGGAAGGTTCACTGATAAAAAGCTCGAAAAGGTTAAGTTAGGTTATTTATAACGTTGGCGACCATGCGTCCCGATGCCACGACGCACGTTTTCGGCTAGCTAGGATATTTAAATCATTTATCAGGCGTTCGTATAATTTTTTCATGTTTTCATGTATCAGTTAAGCTCAGCCTTCTAAAGAATCTTGAAGCATTGCGGTCTAGGAACCATTCATTTCTGACTACAGATATAAGAGAAAATAAAGGTTAATGTAAGGACAACATAAAAACGCGGTCGCCAATGGGTTATGGATCGCGTTAAGATTGAGAGCCAATCAGTAGGTGATGACTTGAAAGAGGGAAGGAAAGGCAGGAAAGAAAGCGAGTTCACGATGAGCAGAGCGAGAGATGACTCCATCAAGGAAGGCTGCACAAGAAATCCACCAAGCGTTCCGAAACACTCACACAACGGCTAAGTGAATGAACATCATACAGCTCTCTAAGTGAAATAGTAAGCGTTCAGAAAAAAAGATAGTTCAATGGCAAATGTAGTGGCAAATGGCAGGTGTGAGTTCACGAGTAGTGGCAAATGGCAAGTGTGAGTTCACGACTGCCACCAAGTCACTCGCGGCGGTAGACAAAGTGTAAATGATTTTGACAAAAGTTTCATTCATTTCTCAGAATCCCCCATCAGCCCCCCAACTTCGCCTATACTATGATTACTACTTCGTGTACAGGACCGGTACCAGCGAATGCTAGTCAGTCTTAGGAGGGAAGCTCAGCTGGCTTGGGATGGATTCATTTTCCACATCCTCCGTCTACATCCGTATAGTGCAAGAGTACATTAGAAGACTGCGAATCACGGAAACATTTTCCTACTCTTTACAGCTACCGTTCCCATTCGAGACTAAAATTCATATACTCGTTCGACATTTGGAAGTAAGCGTACCAGGCCAACCGGTGCACAACTGCAAGCACTATCATTGGCAGGATTGGCCGGATCGTGGAGTCCCAGACGCCGATCTAGCGCCAATTGTGTTATTGTCGAAACTCAAAGATAGTCCGTAAGTTTCTTCCCACTTCATTCGGAGGTCCGCACAGTGGGCACGATAAAGGGGTGAATAATAAATATATGTAAGTACTTTCAGCGCTCCAATAATTGTACACTGCTCGGCCGGAATCGGACGCACAGGATCCATAGTTCTGATCCAACACGCCATGGAGCTGTTGCACATACCCGCGCCTTTACTTGAAATCTCCACTTATCTTATAGAACTACGTAAACAAAGAAATAATAGCATACAGGTTTGTCAACCGGAATAGCAGGCACACGAATTTAAGGATGGCAGAATCAGATAATTTTTCACTTTCTTCTCTACCAAATAAACCGGAACGATTCCCTCATTCAAAGTCTTTCGGACTACTGTTAACTTTGTCCGCACTGTTTCTTTCTAATCAAACTGAGTCTCTACCGGAATTTCCCTCCCAAAGCGGTCTCATGCTTTCCAGACATTGATGGGCATGAACCGGATGCCTACAAGTGGGACCGGTGTCGGTTCACCTTTGTTTATAAGTCTAAAGCGATTGCTTGATTTCCATGGCTTCGTAATCATTCGTTTCTCTTCTTATAATTAGGAAAGACCTGAATCCCATTTTGAGCAGCATCAGTGATGACTTGATTACTTGAAACTCGTAGAGCCAACTTATGATAGAAAGTTATTAGTTACAATTTTACACTATTGACTGATATGCTTAGATATTCCTCACTGTAGTTCTCCTTTCGCTGAAGGATCTTCAGCCAATTTGGCAACGCTATGGTGAAGCGGACCGTGGGTAGATCCAGAGGGATGGGATCCTTGCTGGTTGAGTCGATTTATACCTTCTGTCTTCTGTCTCCTCAGTCATATCCACATATCGCGGGAAGTTCCCAAATGGGGNTCGTATCCTGCATACGAGCTCAGCCAAAAGTTCGCATTCAAGTGGATCGAAAGCAGCTGCTGTCTGCCTAGGCAAGCTACACTTGGGGGTTTAGTTGGCATGGGTTTCTTGCCAAGAGGATACCCACTCTATCCAGTCCGTTTGAGTTTATTATGTTGATCAAAACCATCTTCGTAATTCGCAAATAGCCATAAACAAGAAATCCAATAGCTGGTCCAAAGAGCTGATTCCTACACACTATTTTATTGCGGAGGGCCCCATCAGGTGAATCTCACGTAATAGCAAATGAGGCTCTGGCCGAGGACGTCAAACTGGGAAGAGCATCTGCAATGCCGGTCGGAGTTTCGTCAACCACAAGGGCCCTGCGGATTGCTTCGTTGTTCTTACAGAGCAGTTAATTCATCATCACTGGTGATGGAAAAAGTCATCTAGTCACACTCGATGGAGGTCGCATTGATCTCGAAAGATCGGATCGGGTGACCAACTCGCGCGGAACTCGCTTTTTCTAGGAGGGGTTTCTAATAGTTAGTTCATCTTTTTATTGTGAATCAGACGCCTAAATTAAGATGTAATTCCAACACGTTGGTCATCTCACGTCTAACCAATTTAATTTTCTGTGTATGTTACACGAAAGTATTCTTCGTTCAAGTTCTGAATCCACCTATTCGTTAACTTGCACGCATTAGCATAAGCGACATAAATTTTTTTCAGACTGAACACCAATATCTATATATTCACCAAGTACTGCTGCTGTATTTAAAGAAGACAAAGTATCTAGATGAAAGCGTGACACCATATATGGAAGCGTTCACGAGGGACTATATAAATGCCACGAAGGGTTTTTGAAGACCGGTCACTACCAAACGTCATGGAACTCTATCGTCATTACTATCATTGTCAGTCAGATCATCAACCATTGTATCAAATCAACTTTCACCAACGTGTCTTCGTTTTATGTACTGATGTATAATCTTAGTGAAAATGAATTTTCATGCATCATTAACCTGACTGGAAACAATATATACTACTGTATCAGGACATTGGTTGATTTAGGTCATGAAGAAAAGTTTATAGTTGAGGAGTATTCAGTGAGGGTTCACCATTAGGCATTACTGCTCCGAGGTGATTTCATGATTGGTACATTTGGTACTCAAATTAACCCATAAGTATGTCGAAATTAACCGATAAGTATGTCGAAGAGCGAAAATAAAATCTTCGCGAAAGTACTTCTGAATAACTCTATGGCTCTATTGTTACAGTGCTCTCCTGCAATCGGCCCCGATTGCCAAGGTAAGTGAAAGAAGTAAGAAGTAAGTGAGAGACGTGCCCAACGTGTAGTAGGACCTGTCAAGTTGCTTTTCATACAGTAGATCCCACCAATGAGTAGACCAAGTCTCTCCAGTGCAGCGAAAAACAACATTTGCATTATTCGCATTCCTTAACAATGGTCAAATCTCAATAACCGAGGACGGAATCGGGCGTCAAACGAGACCTTCTATTTTTTCGCTCTTACGCTCAGTTGCGTACGAGCTTCTTCTCCTTCCTGCCGTTGATTACGCGCAGTCGCAGGGTCCGCAGCACTCGTTAGATGCCGGATATTTGTTAGCCTAAATAAGATCCTTGATCACGGCTCTCCATCTTTCCTTTGGAGCTCCTCGTGATCGTTTCCCTTGATTCTTGAATCTCATGGCTTCTCTAATCGAAAGACTATGTGTTTGTTCTTCGCTGCATGTGTCCATACCAACAAACCCGCCGCTCTGTTATTGTCAGCTGAATGAGAGAGCTGTACTGCCTGGCTGTCCTGCCTTCCTTGTTCCTAACCCGATCCAGCCCTGTTTAACTGAAAACACATCTTAGCGTCATCATTTCTGCAAAGGGGAGTTGTTTTTCGTGATTACTTCTTACTGAACAGCACTCCTCATTAGAGGATGGCGGGCTTCCGCACTGCCTCTTTTGAGCATCCTGGAGCACCGTAGATCATGGAGAACACCACTGAACTCCCTCTCTCATCCACACCGCATGCACTCAATCTTTTAAAAAGTCATCTATGCTACCGTTAGCGGCCAGGTAACCCCTGAAGTATCGGAAGTTATGCACTATTTCAACGACTTCCCGATAGCAGTTCATGATCGGCTCCGTGCACTCCTCTGAGCATTAGTAGGAAGAGGATCAGGCTCAGAGCAGACTTGGAAACTGTTTTGGGACTCTTGGTTCCTGGAGAGCTCTCCAAATAAGTGGTCGCGGAAAGCGGTCATTTTACTCCAGGACGAGGAGAGGCACAGTCTACTTTTTTATCGATACTTCTCCATCAGCTGGTTAGCCATGAAGATGGCATCCGTTGTGAACTTTTCCGGCATGAATTCGAGCTGCTCTCGGGAAACCGAGGCGAATTTCCACAACTTTAAGTTGACACGCCGCTCGCACAGTTTCGCGGTATACACAGCCAATCTGGCCCCACGAGAAATGGAACAAATAATCGCGTACTCCTTCTGCTTGAAGATAGGAACGATCGTGCCGGTTCCTCACGCGTTTGAAATTTCTTTCTTGGGGGTATGGGATAATCGTAAGAGATTTCAGTTGTTGCAATTGCGTGAAAAGCAGACCACATTAAGTTAAAAATGTCCGAAACTACCTTCTTTGCCGCCATGGGCCACGACCAGATGTTTAAAGTTTCAACACAGGTGACCCTTGTAAATGGTGCAACTTATAGAACCCGATAAAACTCGTCCACCTTGGATGAGACATACAGCCGGTTCGACCTTCAAGCTATTAGAATGCCTATCTATACCTTTTCCGATCAGATAGCGTCAAAAATGGTACAAGGAGAGGCATGGACCTATTGTAGTGAGACATCCCAGAAACCATTTTCATCGTGAACAGTGCAATCGGTAGAGATACGGTAGAACTTTACCTCTACCAATTGCACTGTTCAAGATACCGGTTGAGCTACCCAATCCAACTTTCTTCTGTGCCTAGTACCTCATTAGCAGTAGGTCCTAATGGAGTACTAGGCACTTCCATGCCTTGCCTACTAACCCCATTAGGACCTACTGCCTTTCCTACCTACCTCTTCCCTGAAGCTTGACGTACTTCAGGATACATAAAGACATGTATACATATATTTATGTATATACTACATACATACATACATACATACATACATACATACATACATGCATACATACATACATACATACATACAACATACATACATACATATGTATGTATGTACGTTGTACATACATACATATGTACAACATGTTGTACATACATGTACAACATGTTGTATGTTGTACATACATGTACAACATGTTGTATGTTGTACATACATACATATGTACATATGTATATGTTCTACGTACACACATACGAACCGCACCTAACCACATTCCTTCAATAGCCTCCAGCCACTTTTTCAGAATTTAAAATGTTACCGAACAGATATAGGAATTTTGACTTGACCCATCACAACAATTAGCTGAGTGTTTAGAAAGTTTTTCCCCCATTTTGGGACGCTTGTGAACAGAGTTATCGTCACTATCTCAATGCAAGCCCTCTCAATGTCGTGAGAGAGCTCACGATAGGCGGAGCCTACCGTAACAAAGGGTATAAATGGTACAAACGGAGATTATGGGGCACTTCGGTCTTGTTTCAAGCTCGAGATCTTGTGTTAATTTCTTCGAAGCATCAATAAATTGTTGGTCAGCATTATAATGTGAGATAGAAGTAACGATATGGTGCATCGGCCGGCGTTGTCTTCGAACCCTAGATCTCCTGGTTCTCTTACTATACTACTGCAGCATGTTCACTTTCCTTTGGAGCTTACCTCATATTCTTAGCGTTTTGTGATGTTCTTTTGATACTGTTCGTGCACGAGGGACACGGAGCCCCTGAGTTTCGGTCGGGTGGTCCAACGATGGACGCCCGTGAATTGCGCTTGCCCGCGAGTCAAGACACATTGTCAGTAAGTTATCAGGCAATTCCAGGTACCTTTTAAGGTATAGTTATCCACCACTGTTTTCATTATATTCGCATTATCTTACAAGTAACGTTCCTGCAAGTAACGTTACGTAACAGTTTCTTGCAAGCAACGTTATATCAGCAGATAGTTTCTCGCAAGTAGCATTGCGCTCTTTTCGCAAGCNATATTTCTCGCAAGGAATGTGGGGAAGATAATGAACTTCTCATGCCTCAGATATTTATGTTCTCAGGATCACACATATTATCCATTTCGCAACATAATGACAGTAATATGTTTCCATTCTCACGTAAGTGAAATGTTTTCATTCTCACGCAAGCAAAGTGTTTTTATTCGCACGGATCCTAGTGGAAACCCCTCCCCCTTATCTTATCATGGCGCAGGTTTCATTTAAAAAGCGCATCGC